AGGAGTTCAGAGAGTGTCGTGATAACAGGAGAGATCTGAGGAAAGATCCATGAGAGTTCCTTGAGTGTTTAAAGCATACTTTTTTGGGATGGTTGGTAAGGGTACCCTTACTATAAATAGAAGTGTGCTTTGGTTTTGATGTGGCACTGATGAGTGTTATATACACTTATTTTTCACTGATTCGCGTTTTTTTCACGTTTTTCACCAATTTTCACGAATATTCACTATATTAATTATATGATGTTTTTTAAAATAAATTTTATTTATTTATAAAAGGTAATGCACTATATGAACTTTCTTTTTTTTTGAGGTGGATATAGTTTTTTGGACACCGTTGGAAGAATTGTTTGGATTTTTCTCTGGTGGACTGTAAAGAAATTTTAGTGGACTTTAATTTGTAGTGGACTTTATAAAATATAATTTATTTTTCATTTAAGGTGAATAGTGGATGGATGGTGTAGAGATTATATTGCACAGTTATTATGTTATAGGATGAATTTGTAAAAACACTTTCACTTGTATGATTTTGTCCTCAAAATTGTATGTTAGTGCAAATAAAAAAAGTATCACGGACAGTACTCAATTGTTCCTGTCGCAAATGCACTAATACGGCTACAATCACCTCAAGTATAATAAAAGAACAAATTTCAAAGAGCAGACACTGCATTTATTTTTCGCCATACTCCCCTGCCACATTTATACATTTATCCCAGTGTTTAACCAATGCCTGGAAAGCTTTGGCATAGAAAGATTTGTCAGTATGCCTGGTATCAATAAGAAAAAGAAAACAACGGCAGGTTAGGGGCTGGAATGCACTAAAAGGATACACACATTCCATATGCTGCTGTAAAAAAGACCTCCTCGGGAATAGGGACAAAAACCAGTACATCCAAGAAAAGAAGAACAGCGCACTGAGGATTGAAAAAAAGTCATAGATAGTAATGTATAACTGGTGCCCAAGAAAAAAGTTCAGTCCATCAGTTTAAATAACTTTAATCCTCTTGACAAAAAGGTACAACATATTATAAGTCAGATAACCGATATAGTAAACATAGACTCATAGGCAAATGGATGGTCAGGATCAAGCCGGGGTCATACACAGAGCAGCAGACATGAGCAAGGTCAGGATCAAGCAAGGGTCATACACTGAACAGCAGACAGGAGCAAGGTCAGGATCAAGCCGGTGTCATACACAGAGCAGCAGACAGGAGCAAGGTCAGGATCAAGCCGAGGTCATACACAGAGCAGCAGACAGGAGCAAGGTCAGGATCAAGCCGAGGTCATACACAGAGCAGCAGACAGGAGCAAGGTCAGGATCAAGCCGGTGTCATACATAGAGCAGCAAACAGGAGCAAGGTCAGGATCAAGCCGGTGTCATACACAGAGCAGCAGACATGAGCAAGGTCAGGATCAAGCAAGGGTCATACACTGAACAGCAGACAGGAGCAAGGTCAGGATCAAGCCGAGGTTATACACAGAGCAGCAGACAGGAGCAAGGTCAGGATCAAGCCGGTGTCATACACAGAGCAGCAGACAGGAGCAAGGTCAGGATCAAGCCGAGGTCATACACAGAGCAGCAGACAGGAGCAAGGTCAGGATCAAGCCGAGGTCATACACAGAGCAGCAGACAGGAGCAAGGTCAGGATCAAGCCGGTGTCATACATAGAGCAGCAAACAGGAGCAAGGTCAGGATCAAGCCGGTGTCATACACAGAGCAGCAGACATGAGCAAGGTCAGGATCAAGCAAGGGTCATACACTGAACAGCAGACAGGAGCAAGGTCAGGATCAAGCCAAGGTCATACACAGAGCAGCAGACAGGAGCAAGCTCAGGATCAAGCCGGGGGGGTAATACACACAGCAGCAGACAGGAGCAAGGTCAGAGTCAAGCTGGGTCGGAAATGGGTAGTCAGCAGTATTACAGGAACACAGGAACAGGGGGCTGACAATTATCCAGCAATTATTGAGCAGAGCTGCAGTCCTTACAAAGGTCACTGAGTGTCAGCAATTATCACGCCATGCGTGTGCCATTTCGCTTTCACGCACAGGAATGCGAGATTATGTGCCACCCACCTATGCACATGTGCACATTTTTGAGCAAATTGGCGTCGGTCATATTGAACATTGGCGCATTTGCCTGGCTTACTCGTCTTTTCTCCTGACAAACCATCTGTTAATCAAGGTAAAGTAACCTGGGGGTCCCAGATAGGGAAGCCATCATGTCATCCTGGTCGGAGGCTTTGTTGTTCTGTGGTACCGCTCTGTCAGAATGCCAGTCGTAAACCAACCAAAAAGATGGCCACTCATCAAGCCGGCGATGCTTCCTCATTATTGCATTCACAGTTCCCACAGAAATATTTGTCTCTTGTACAATTTCATGACAGGTTATGCGTCTATTATTCCATGTGCTGAATGTTCACAGGAGTGACTGCTGTAGGTTGGGAACCACCCTGGCCGGGATCATCACTGATGGACATACGACCATCTTTGAAACATTTACACCATTCAAATGTCTTACTCCGTACTGTGCTTGAAGTCTTTAGTAAATACTTGTGGGTTTTACACCTTCGTAAGAAACTTCATCACCACACGCTGTTCCATAAGCACACTAACACTGTTGTCTGCCATCTTGATTAACAGTCTCTGGACTGGTCTGCAACATGTGCGCCACCCATCTGTGATAAGACATACTTGCCACTTTACTGCATGTAGTACCGCCACACTAGCATTCCTTTTTATACCTGTAAAATTAAAAGTCCGGGTTTGACTAGAATGCCCCTTGTACTATATATTAATTTACATTTATTTGTTTGCTTGAAGGCAAGGGTACTTTTAACTTTTCAACTTCTAGTTTAGATTATTTAGTGGAAATCACTCAAATTAAGTGATTTTTCTTTGGATTTTTTAATGACAGCATGTACACAATGTAGTTTGCACAAACGAGAAATAATAAATTATAGTAAAACAAAATAGCACTGTACCCATGGGAAAAGTGTACAATTTGTAGTACCCACCTTACAGTGAAGGAAATAAGTATTTGATCCCCGGCTGATTTTGAATGTTTGCCCCTTACAAAAAAATGATCAGTCTAAAAATTGAATGTTTGGTGTATTGTAACACTGAGAGACAGAATAGCAACAACAAATTCAGCAGAAATGCATGTCTAACAAATGATGACTGATCTGCATGTTCATGAGGGGAATAAGTATTTGATTCCCTTCACAAAACATGACTTAGTACCTGGTGGCGAATCCCTTGTTGGCAATCACAGTCACCAAGAAAACAATTGGTAACACACTACGCCAACAAGGACTGAAATCCTGCAGTGCCTACAAGGTCCTTCTGCTCAAGAAAGTACATGTTCAGGCCTTTCTGAAGTTTACCACTGAACATCTGAATGATGCAGAGGAGGACTGGTTGAAAGTGTTGTGGTCAGATGAGACCATAATTGAGCTCTTTGGCATCAACTCAACTCGATGTGTTTGGAGGAGGAGGAATGATGCCTATGACCCCAAGAACACCATCCCAACTGTCAAACATGGTGGTGGAAACATTCTGCTTTGGGGGTGTTTTTCTGCTAAGGGGACAGGACAACTGCACTGCATCAAAGGGACGATGGATGGGGCAATGTACCCTCAAATCTTGGGTGAGAACCTTCTTCCCTCAGCCAGGGCATTGAAAATGGGTCGCGGATGGGTGTTCCAGCATGACAATGACCCAAAACACACGGCCAAGGCAACAAAGGAGTGGCTCAAGAAGAAGCACATTAAGGTCCTTGAGTGGCCTAGCCAGTCTCCAGACCTTAATCCAATTGAAAACCTGTGGAGGGAGCTGAAAGTTTGAGTTGCCAAATGTCAGCCACCAAACCTTAATGACTTGGAGAGGATCTTCCAAGAGGAGTGGGCCAAAATCCCTCCTGAGATGAGTATTTAAAAAACTGCTGATCTACTGGGATTTTCACACACAACCATCTCTAGGGTTTACAGAGAATGGTCCGACAAAGAGAACATACCCAGTGAGCAGCATTTGTGTGGAGGAAAATGTCTTGTTGATGTGCAGAGGTCAGAGGAGAATGGGCAGACTGGTTGCTGCGATATTCAAATGGTAGGGTCAGAATTTGGTGGAAACAACATAAAAGCATGGCTGGTGGTGGTGGTGTAATGATGTGGAGGATATTTTCTTGGCACTAGCAAGGTGTACCAAATAAAGTTGCCAGTGAGCAAATTTTGGTGAGTTGCTTTCCAATTATGTGTGAAGGCATACAGTAATTCATTATATATTTTAGTTGGATTTAGAGTCTTGTTTTCAGCACATATACATTGAATTTCTGTTTTTTGGATTGTTCATTTATTACAACCTAAACAAATGCATTGGATTCAATGCAATAAAACGCTGGTTGTTCCATTTTTTACACAACTGAAAATACCAGAATCTAGATTTTTGCCCATGTCTGAATTCACTATAAATTATATAAAAAAATTAAGAAAATGGAAACAAAAAGTATATTCTCAAAATGTAAAGCTGTATGTTTTGAGTTTGGTGACACATTTGAGCAAGGCTTTCCTGATCGACTGGTTCCTGAGGCTGTAGATAATAGGATTCATCAGTGGTGTCACCACAGTGTACAGCAAAGACCTATATTTGTTCATGCTTGCTGTGCTGGCATCTCCTGGTACCATGTATACGGTGATCATAGTTCCATAATAAACACAGACAGTAGCCAGATGGGAGCTGCATGTGGAGAAGGCCTTTCTTCGACCATAAGCAGAAGATGTCTTCAGGATGGTGAAGAAAATGTACATGTAGGTTATGATAATGAAAGTGAAAGGGAAAAATATTACAAATATGGAAATTACAAAGTCTTGTAGCATCAAACTGGATGTGTCTGAGGTGGATAGCTCCACGACTGGTCCAAAATCACAGAAAAAATGGTCAATGTAATTAATTCCACAGAATTTAAATTGAACCACCACCACTATATCACTTGATGTTAGTAGGGTAACTAAGAACCAGGATCCAAGAACCAACAGGAGGCAAACTCTAGGGTTCATAAGTGAAGCATAATGCAATGGTTTGCAAACAGCCAAATATCTATCATAGGACATAACAGCAATCAGAATACATTGCACAAATCCAAAAATGCCAAAGGCATACATCTGAGTAATGCATCCAACAAATGATAGTCTTCCTTCCTCAATGAATATAATATCTAGCATCATCGGGACAACACTGGTGGTCTGTAGGACATCTGCTGTGGCCAAGTGCTTGAGGAAGAAGAACATTGGAATTTTAAGATGATCTACAGTTGTTACCAAAATGATTATTAAAAGGTTTCCACCGAGTATGATAAGATAGGTTAAAAGAACTACAATAAATAATAGAGTTTTAAATTTGGCCAGGCCACAAAACCCAAGTAAACGAATCTGTGTGACCTGGGTCTGATTAACCTCACACATTTTATTGCATGTAGACGATTAACTAAAGCCACCAGATATATGTGCTTTTCTCCTGTAAGATACACATAGGGTATGAAATGGTAATGTACAAGGAATTAATGATGAAGAAAAAGTATATATATTATATTTCATTTTTTTATTATATATTTTAATTATTTATATTTAATTTTTAGCAGTTTTCTACAGATATGTTTAAAATGGGAATTAAATGCTAGGTTGACTTTTAGGAACATACTACAGACATATTTTGTGTGTAACATGTGACATGATCCTAAACACCCAACCTTCATCCACTGAGCCAAGGGTTCCCAACACCTGCAGCCTCTGTCACATTTAAAATTGGTGCGGCTGTGCAGGCAGAGAGATCTGCAGATGAATAAACTACAAGTTCTGTGTGCCACCGTGGCAAATAGACTTATAGTTCTCAATGAACTACGAGAGTGCTGATCAATGTCATTTTGACTGGTTATAATCAGGGGTGGACTGACCATTTGGAAACTAGGGCACTGCCCGAGGGCCCGGGGTCAGTAGGGGGCCCCATGAGATGCCCCTGGTACCTTTTTCATAGGCTTTTTTTGAGTTTGGGCAAGGACACAGGGGCCCCATGATCCCCTATTGCCCGGGGGCCCCATGAGTTGTCAGTCCACCCCTGGTTATAATATAATCCCAAGACCCTGGAATGAATTATTATCTTCTACTAATTAATTAATAACTGTGTCACTTTAAATAATAGAAAAATTGTATAGTGATAAGTGAATGAATTGTAATTAAATCCGCTGTCATTAATATTATCAAAAATAGATAACTTCAATTAAATTCAATATGATAAGAGAAAATATATGGGTGAACCAATTTATATAAATGTGCAACAATATATATATATATATATATATATATATATATATATATACAGTTGTGTTCAAAATAATAGCAGTCAGACATCACTAACCGGATCAATCACTGTTTTTGGTAGAATTTATATTTCTACATGGCAAATAATTTCCTAGCAGGTGTAGTAGAGTAATAGAAATCCAACAGACCCAACAGTCATGACATGCATGCTGCTGATTCTGTGTCATTGAATCACTCATTGAAAGGGGCGTGTTCAAAATAATAGCAGTGTGGAGTTCTATTAGTGAGGTCATTCATTCTTTGATAAACAGGTGGCAATTATTGCCCTTATTTAAGGAAGGAAGGCAGCAAATGTTGTACATGCTGGTTACAGTGCATTTTTCTCTGAAATTCTGACGAAAATGGGTCGTTCCAGACATTTTTCAGAAGAACAGCGTACCTTGATTAAAAAGTTGATTGGAGAGGGGAAAACATATAAAGAAGTGCAGAAAATGATCGGCTGCTCAGCTAAAATGATTGCAAATGCTTCAAAATGGCAACCAAAACCTAAAAGATGTGGAAGAAAGTGAAAAACTACCATTGGAATGGATAGAAGGATAGCCAAAATGGCGCGGACTCAGCCAACACTCAGCTCCAGGAAGATGAAAGAAGGTGTGGCGTTCCCTGTGAGGACTGTTACAATTAGAAGACGCCTATGTGAAGCCAAGCTATCTGCAAGAAGTCCCCGCAAAGTCCCACCGTTGAAAAAAAGACATGTGCTGAAGAGGTTACAGTTTGCCAAAGAGCACATTGACTCGCCTAAAGAGAAATGGCGCAACATTTTGTGGACTGATGAAAGTAAGATTGTGCTTTTTGGGTCTAGTGGGCGGAGACAGTTTGTCAGACGACCCCCAAACACTGAATTCAAGCCTCAGTACACTGTGAAGACAGTGAAGCATGGTGGTGCAAGCATCATTATATGGGGATGTTTCTCATACTATGGTGTTGGGCCTATTTATCGCATACCAGGGATCATGGATCAGTTTGAATACATCAGAATACTTGAAGAGGTCATGCTGCCTTATGCTGAAGAGGAAATGCCCTTGAAATGGGTGTTCCAACAAGACAACGACCCCAAACACACCAGTAAACGTGCAACATCTTGGTTCCAGACCAACAAGATTGACGTTATGAAGTGGCCAGCCCAATCCCCGGATCTTAATCCAATAGAAAACTTGTGGGGTGACATCAAAAAAATGCCGTTTCTGAGGCAAAACCAAGAAATAGAGAAGAACTGTGGAATGTAGTCCAATCATCCTGGGCTGGAATACCTGATCACAGGGGCGAGAAGTTGGGTGACTCCATGCAACACAGATGTACAGCAGTTCTCAGAAACAGTGCGACTACAACCAAATATTCATTAAGTGATTCAAAGGAAAGCAAAATCTTCAAACATTTTTCAGTTTATATAGTGACTGTTTGAGTTTGTAAAGAAGAATACAAACACTGCGATTTTTTTGAACCGTCTAATATTCACTTTTCTTCAATTTTTTTAGAGGAACAACACAAATTTGATGTATTTTTCTTCATGTTTTGATTTGGAATAGAATGTGTCGTGTTCCCAATGCATTTGTGTGGATGGAAATAAAAGCTATTAGAAGGATTTTGAGCTTTATTCACTTTTTTCAACACACTGCTATTATTTTGAACACAACTGTAAATATATATATACAGTCATGGCCGAAATTGTTGGCACCCTTGATATTTTTCCTGAAAATCAAGTATTTCACACAAAAAAGGTATTGCATTAACACATGTTTTGCTATACACATGTTTATTCCCTTTGTATGTATTGGAACAAATATAAAACAGAGGCAGAAAAGCAAATATGACATAATGTCACACAAAACCCCAAAAATGGGCTGGACAAAAGTATTGGCACCCTTAACTTAATATTTGGTTGCACACCCTTTGGAAAACATAACTGAAATCAGTCGCTTCCTATAACCATCAATAAGCTTCTGACACCTCTCACCCGGAATTTTGGACCACTCTTCCTTTGCAAACAGCTCCAGGTCTCTCTTATTGGAAGGACACCTTTTCCCAACAGCAATTTTAAGATCTCTCCACAGGTGTTCAATGGGATTTAGATCTGGGCTCATTGCTGGCCACTTCAGAACTCTCCAGCGCTTCTTTGCCATCCATTTCTGAGTGCTTTTTGACGTATGTTTGGGGTCATTGTCCTGCTGGAAGACCCAGGATCTTGGACGCAAACCCAGCTTTCTGACACTGGGCCCTACAGTGCGACCCAAAATCCTTTGGTAATCCTCAGATTTCATGATGCCTTGCACACAGTCAAGGCACCCAGTGCCAGAGGCAGCAAAACAACCCCAAAACATCATTGAACCTCCACCATATTTTACCGTAGGTACTGTGTTTTGTTCTTTGTAGGCCTCATTCCGTTTTCGGTAAACAGTAGAATGATGTGCTTTACCGAAAAGCTCTATCTTGGTCTCATCTGTCCACAAGACGTTTTCCCAGAAGGCTTTTGGCTTACTCAAGTACATTTTGGCAAACTGTAGTCTTGCTTTTTTATGTCTCTGTGTCAGCAGTGGGGTCCTCCTGGGTCTCCTGCCATAGCGTTTCATTTCATTTAAATGTCGACGGATAGTTCGCGCTGACACTGATGCTCCCTGAGCCTGCAGGACAGCTTGAATGTCTTTGGAACATGTTTGGGGCTGCTTATCCACCATCCGGACTATTCTGCGTTGCAATCTTTCATCAATTTTCCTCATCCGTCCACGACCAGGGAGATTAGCTACAGTGCCATGGGTTGCAAACTTCTTGATAATGTTGCGCACTGTGGACAAAGGCAAATCTAGTTCTCTGGAGATGGACTTGTAACCTTGAGATTGTTGATATTTTGCCACAATTTTGGTTCTCAGGTCCTCAGACAGTTCTCGTCTCCTCTTTCTGTTGTCCATGCTTAGTGTGGCACAGACAGACACACAATGCAAAGGTTAAGTGAACGTCTCTCCTTTTTATCTGCTTTCAGGTGTGATTTCTATATTGCCCACACCTGTTACTTGCCCCAGGTGAGTTTACAGGAGCATCACATGCTTGTAACATTCTTATTTATCCGCAGTTGTGAAAGGGTGCCAATACTTTTGTCCAGCCCATTTTTGGAGGTTTGTGTGACATTATGTCGAATTTGCTTTCTTTCCTCCCTTTTTTTGTTTTGTCCCAATACACACAAAGGGAATAAACATGTGTATAGCAAAACATGTGTTAATGCAATACGTTTCGTGAGAAATACATGATTTCCTGGAGAAATATCAAGGGTGCCAACAATTTCGGCCATGACTGTATATTGTGGGAACTCGCTTCAAAATGGTAGAGCTTTTCTTGTTTAAAGCACACAGCAACTCGCTTCTTTAAGGGCCTTTTTGCCCAATTTTATTTAAAAGAAAAAGTTCCATAAACACAAATGCTTCCCACACAGGGGTATCCACCATCAAACCAATTCAGCCTTCTGGCTCTTTCAGCTATACCGCTTTATATCTGTCTCCTACAGACTCCTTCCACAAGGTTGTTTTTGCATACAGCAAACCTCTAGCACACAGCTATTCTGGCTCCCACCCAGGGGCAGACTGACAACTCATGGGACCCCCGGGCAATAGGGGATCATGGGGCCCCTGTGTCCTTGCCCAAACTCAAAAAATCCTATGAAAAAGGTACCAGGGGCATCTCATGGGGCCCCCTACTGACCCCGGGCCCTCGGGCAGTGCCCGAGTTTCCAAATGGTCAGTCCGCCCCTGCTCCGACCTCTACTAGGTGACTGAAGTTCACCTGACTCCACGGCAGAGACCTCCTGTCTGCCAGGGTGGAGCCCTCCTGACTCCGTCTGCTGGGGTGGAGCCCTCCTGACTCCTGTCTGCCGGGGTGGAGCCCTCCTGACTCCAGTCTGCCAGGGTGGAGCCCTCCTGACTCCAGTCTGCCGGGGTGGAGCCCTCCTGACTCCTGTCTGCCGGGGTGGAGCCCCCCTGACTCCTGTCTGCCGGGGTGGAGCCCTCCTGACTCCTGTCTGCCAGGGTGGAGCCCTCCTGACTCCTGTCTGCCGGAGTGGAGCCCTCCTGACTCCTGTCTGCTGGAGTGGAGCCCTCCTGACT